AAGTTTCAGCTTTCTAGCTTCTCCCGTTCCTGGGCTAGTGATTTTCGCGCCAAAATTTCCACGTGCTCGCACGCGGCTGCCGGGCTCTTCTGAACACCTGATTTTGGTCGTGCATGTGTAGGAAACATTCCCCTAAAGTTTCAGCCTTCTAGCTTTTCGCGCCTCCGAGTTGGTAATTTTCGTGCCAAAAATTTTCACTTGCCCCTACGTGAGCCCCGGGCTTTCTTAAGGGGCTGAGTTTGAAAACTTTTGGCCGCACATGAGTAGGGAACATTCCCCCAAAGTTTCAACTTTCCAGCTTTTCTCATTCCCGAATTATGAATTATCCCGCCATAATTTCCACGTGCCTGTACGCGGGGCCCAGACGTGCGTGGGAGTTGATACTGCGGTCCTGGGGTGGCACTTGGCTGGGGAACACGCTGGCAAAATTTCAGCCTCAAAGCTTGCGTGGTCTAGAAGAATCTGTAGGAAAAATTCTTTTAGCTAGAAGCATCTGCCGGAAGAAACAGTACCGCTAGCGACAAAAACCTACGAGGTATTATGCAAAAAAAGCATCTTCACGCCGGCTGCCGTTGGCCATTTATTATGCGTTTTGTGCTGTACAACAGCAGTACAGAACGCATATTGTCATGGGTTGTCTGTCTGTTTGTGCGTGAGTGTCCGCAGCAACTTGTCCGCAACTTTCAACTCGGGAGCCACAATGGCTAGGGAGCTGAAAATTTAGGGGAATGTTCCCCACCCATGTGCGACCCCGCAAATCTAAATTCGCCCTTCCTGTACCGCAACACGTACGGCCCGTAAAAGTTTTAGCGAGTAAGATTATTATTACGGGAAACACGCAAACTGGAAGGCTGAAATTTTGTGGGCATGCCCCTTGCCTACGTGCGTCCCGAAAATTTAAATTCAGACTTCCATTGCTTGCGGGTAACACATGCGGTTCTGTTAAATTTTTGGTGGGGAAGTTATTATCTTGGGAACCTTGGAATCTAGAAAGCTGAAATTTCAGGGTAATGACTCCCTGACCATGCACGACTTTGCAGTTTCAAATTCAGCGTTCCTGCGCAGGTATCACCTACTACCCCTTGAAAAATTTGGAGGGTAAATTATTATCCCGAGATCCACAAAGTCTACGAAACTGAAATTTTAAGGTAATGATTTCCTGTGCACGTGTGATCTTACAAATTCAAATTCAGCATATTCGTGCGCCCAGATTTCACTTATGGCCCGTGAAAGTTTCAGTGAGGAAAATTATTATCTCGGGAACCACGAAAGTCGGGAATCTGAAATTTTGAGGTGATCTTCCCTATCAAGGTACGACCCCAAAAATTTGATTTTAGCCTTCACACACTTCTAGATTCGCATACATCACTCCCCCTCACACCCATCCTAATCCCCTCCGCATGTCACGAATATCACACCCAAAAAATGTGCTCATGCATTGCCAGCCCCCCTTCTCCCTCCTGTGCCATTTGTAGTCTAACCTCTCTCCCCCCTCCCCTCACCTTTCTCTATCGAAGTTCTTCCCCAGATTCAGAACAGGGGACCAAGGGTGTTGTATCATAATGATGCAATAGCATATCACGAATTTCGCAACCCAAAAATGTGTGCCATAGAACGCGGCCGAGCTGGGCCGAGTTTTCCTTGCTACCTTTCTTGCTTAGCATCATAAACCACTATAACCTCTGGCTTCCTGTGGTGGTTCCCCATGTTCCCAGTCCGCACCTTTAAAACGTTGTGAAGGAAGACCCTCTAATTCTAAACCCCGTCCGCTCCGTTCCCGTCCCCTCCACTCCGTGTCTCATTCCACTTCACCCCCTGGCATCCCCATCAGTCATCGTGGTTCCATTCCCAACG